CAGAAGGGCACAGCATGGAAACAGGCCATTCCGCCAAACTGGCTATTATATTTCTCCAACTTGCTGGCTATCATATTTCTACCGCCTCATTTTTGATTGACAAAAAGTGGAAACATCCAATTATCTCCCATCTTATCAAAACCTTTCATAATCTTTAACACCTCTGTCATTTCAATTGTCTCATCTCGAGAAAGAAAAGCTCCAAGTCTCCAATCTTTCTTGATAGTTGTATCACTGATAACATCTTTGTAAATCTACACTGTACCTTCCTCAATGATACAATATCTTTCCTGGAGTATGGTAACCAGAACTGTACATAGTATTACAAATGTAGCATTGCTTCCATATTTTTATACTTGATTCCTCTGAGCATAGAGCCAAAGATTCTATTTACATTGGTTGGTGGAGTCCTGTAGCTCAGTGGTTAGAGCACTCGCTTTGCAAGCAAGAGACCTGGATTTGATTCCCGGCAGGGTGAAACCTTGAGCAAGTTTCCTTACTCCACACGCCTAATAACAATCCCTCAAGAAAAAAAACAATAATAAATTTGTCACTTCATTCCATGACTGTTTGTGGGACACTGCTATGCGCAATTGGCCTCTGCGTTTCGCCCACAAATATACAGTCTATTCGCATCACAGTCTATTCTGTGAAGCGCTTTGAGACGTCTAGAAGAGGTGAAAAGCTCTATACCAAATGCAAGGATTATTATTATTATTGTGGGCTGCTCCACCCGCCTTACTATCTCTGAACAAACCATTAAAGGGTTCACTTTCTCATGAAGATGGCTCAAGTTGATTTTTAGTATAGCTTTTGGGTTTTTGTGATGTGTGAGTGTGTGGGCGGGTGGGGGGTGGGGAAGAGAAAGAACATTAAAAGTATCATTTGGATACTCGGTTTAGTAAAAAACAGATACTTGCTGAAAAGACAATGGTTTTGGCCAATGGTTAAAAATAAGTAGAAGCTAATTTGTTAACAGGCTCCTATACTGATCAGAAATCTAGGGAACATCCCTTCCAATATCCCTCCACCTCATACCCTCACTGTGTTTTGGGAGGGTGGGAGAGGGAAGAGGAGATAAGCGCTCTGAGACACTACCCTGCGTGGAGGGCGCTATACGAGTGCAAGTTGTCATGTAAGTATAGGCCAGGTTGGAGAGTACTCAACACTATTAATTGGGAGTGAGAGGTTCAGTCTACATATTGGGACAGAGGGCAGCTTGTGCACTTTATATCCGTGAAGTGAACCCTGAAATCAATATCAGTTTTTGTTTAACATGAACACACAGCTTTAATTCTATATAGATGATTTAAGTCAGTTTTTTGTGTTGGCAATAAGCTTTGATTATTGACACCCGAAGTTAAATGAGCAAATGAACTACCTCCATCATTCAATTCGTTGTAACCAGAGTGTTGATTGTATCCCTAGCGGCTTTCTGTTCAATCCTACTCATCGGTTCGGGGAAATAGAATGAGAGTGAATGGGAAAAGTGTGCTACATTCCCCTTCTGGGTTCAAATCCAGCCCAAATTGACTGGATGAAATTCTTGTCTCTGCAGCTACATTAGGATACTAACCCCAGAGTCCCTGATTGATGTTTGAACAAACCATCCCTTAATTTGGCATAGATTAGCACTGAATTGCCTCAGCGAGGCGGCTGTGGAGAATGGAATGTTTTTTTTATGATTTCCCAACGGGCAGAGCGAGCTCATGATACGCTCGACCAAATATTGGCCTAAATGTTGTCGACTCCAGACTAATGCACGGAATGAACGTACTGGAGCCATTTCAGATACCAGGGAACAGCCTTCTACAAACAGGAGAGAGTGGCTGCTTGCTTCACTATCCGACACCAATCAATCAGACTGACTGGAATCGTCCGAAATAGCCATTAAGGCTATTATTGTGCAAAATTCTGATAATTCAAGTTTATTCTTAAATCGACAGCCAGTTTTGTGGAAATCTTATTTAAAATCCTGCATGCAGCCATCTTCCGAATTAAGATTGCAAAATCTTAAATTTTAAGATAACATCTTAAGGCCTAGACGATGAGAAACTTCAAAGCTTAGATTGTAACCAAAATAGCAAGCGTGCCCACTTGATATTGCACATTTTATATGGTTTGTTTCAGTTCAGTATTGCTTTGTGGATGTGTAAACCGAGGTGTTAGGATGTAAAATTATACCTCGCAAAACACTGAAGAAAGAGGTTCTGGGTTGATTACAACACATCATCAGTAGAAAGAATTTCCGTTAAGTAATTTGTTCCCGACTGAGTGTGACAAGGGAGTCGAGGAGCATTACAGTTACAATTCACCAGTGCACATCGCTCGCTTGTTTTAGGATCTAACACCCCTGTTATAAAATAATGAACATTTGAACACATACTGCATAATGTCTGATCTGCACTCAACAATCTGCCCCGACTGATTCCTACAGTTGGTAACTAGGCTTTACATAGCAATCTCTCTCCAGTATCCTCTCTTAGTTGGAGCCATGGTGGCAGCAGATAATAAGATACTTTTCCTTCAGCTTGTTGTATGTTGTATTTCAAGACATTCTGAATGCTGTTGCAAAAGGGAGGGCTGAATCTCAGAGGCTTCACATTTGCAGTTTAAAAGGTTCCATGTTTTATGAGTAACTTCTGGTCAGAAAGTCACCGTCTGTAATTGTATGGCTCATTATATCCCTGCTATTCTATGAAACACGGGAGCACTTGTGGGAAGTCTAGTGCTGGAGCACGAGTAACAACAGATCGAGACCTGCTAAAATCTTGGACTCTTGGAATTTCCACCAATGGCTCCCCAATCACTAATCTCCCACGGACGGATTCTTGCTTCGTGTCACGACTGAACCCTCGCCACGTGGTGTCAACAATTTAAACGCCATCTGCCTTTAGAACCCAGTTTCCTGAATGCCAGACTAAATTAATTTGTGACTTTTGAGCCCCATGAATACATACAGTACTGTACAAGATACTTGACAACTTTACCCCAACACTTGGTTCAAATAGGTTCACACAAGTCTCTTTGGGTGTAACTGTGAATGTTACTCTTGAGGTCCTTTTCTGCTCCATGAAAACCAAAGGTCCTGATGGGAATACCAGACCAGAGGCAGCTGAGAGATTGGGAACGAAACGAACTTTACAAAACAAATAATGAAACTCCACCTGCATTTTGTATTAGTTACGGCCCAAGTTACCACTAATTAATTTGTTCTGGCTTAATTAGACTGTGCTGCGACATACAAAGCCTATTAGAGGTGCACAGAACCAAGACCATTGCTGAATTTCTCTGAAATACACCAGTGTAGTGTATAGATACTTGGGGACAAATACTGTTCAACAGCTCATCAAATCCCTGTATGGAGGGCGGGTTCAGAAGAACAGTATGACACTGTGAAACACATACCTACCTGCCTCAGCAGTTACTGAGAGTGAGGAACATTAGTCTGACAGAGTTAACACTAGCGCTGTGTCAAATGTCTCCTTCCTTTTCAACTTCTGAAAATGTAACTAGCACTCAATGTATTTTTTTCAGCCTTTGGGGGTTTCGCCGCCGAGGTCACCTGGGTTCCGCCCCTGCTCCAACTTATTATCCCGTTGGGCTGCTCAGCAGATGTTGCACAGCTGTGCGCAGAAGCGGGTACCTGGTGGAGGAATAGTGCGTCAGAGGGGAGGGGGTCACGAGTGACGCACGCTTCAAACCGCATGATATCATGCGCACACATTACATCACTGGAGCCTGCTTCACTTTCGTTTTGGTGGCACAGCGGATCGCGACGAAAGATGCATTTGACACAACACTAGCTGACCAACTGCTTGGGAGCAGCCAGAGCTCGACTTCTCCAGAGCACCGGGCGCTTTAACTAAACATCGCTTTTTTAAGTGAAGGCTTAACCCCGTCACTGATAAGTCCCGCTCCGAACGTCACAAATCTCGTGCAGCAAAATCATGCACCAACGGTTCAAAATTCCACTGGTGTTCAATCCAGGCTCTTGTACTTTTCTTTTTTTTTTTGGGGGGGTGCTGAGTGGGTGGGGGGGGGGGCGGGGGGAGAGGAGGTGGTGGTGCGTGGGGTGGTGGGTGTGCGCAGGAGGAAGAAGGAGAGAAAATAATTCAAAGATCAGGACTCGGGAAGTTTGACTGAAAAGATCTGTTGCTCTGCATTGTTGTGGTTCCCCCCCCCCACCCCACGTCTGTCTCCAAAACAATGATGAGATTGGTAGACACACGTGAAGGCAATGGAGTTCTTCAACAATACAGCACACAGATGCCCTGTATATGGTGACTTTCTGTCCCAACACTCTCAATGACCAAGGCTGACAGCATTCACTGGGAGCCCATCACAGGTAAGATCCTCATTAAATGTGTTACAAAGCTCGCCTTTTCATATCTCTCCCAACCCCAATGCCCTTCCACAAAATAATCATAACAATTATAATTACTTTCAACTTCCGAAAGTGTAAGCAGCATTCCAAGCATGAGTGTGTTGTGTGTTTATCGCTCTCTCTCTCTCACTCTCTCCCTCTCTCCTCCAGCTCCTTTGGGATTTGTGACCAAATACTCTTAAGAATCTGATCCACTTGTGAAATAGTCCTGTGAAATCCAGAGCACAAAACCCTAACCGATTCGGTTTGTTTTTTTCCTGCGGAATTCCTTTTTGCCTTTTGTTGTTGTTTTATGTTTTTTTGCAAGTCGCTTTTTCTTCCAATGAGAAAGTCAAGTCATTTTGTTACGAGTCAAGAATGTTATTTCTTTTTTTTTGAGGGGGAAAAAAAAGCAAAGCTCCGCGTTGAGAATCAGATGAAGGTTCCCACATCCCTAATAGGTGCTGTCAAAATAAACTACAGACATTTTTTTTTCCTCCGGGAGGTAGGTAGGCAGGTAGGGAGGCAGGGTGGGAGGTTGGTAGGAAGGAAGGTAAGTAGGTAGGTTAGGTAGGTAGGAGAAGGTGGAACTCTGTGTTGAGAAGATGGGAAAAGAGAAAGAAGAGAGACTTACAGAAAGGACTTCATATCTAACCCTCGGTTACGAAGCTGTCCCATCACGTAATCCCAGCTCCCGGGGTTGGAGCGGCTCCGGCCTCCGGCAGTGCGATAGCGGGAGCCCGCAGTCGCGCTCTGCCTGGGTTGTCCCCGGTAGGGAGACCGGCTGCCGGAGGTTGACTGCTGAAGCTGCCCGAGACTCTGGCTGGTGGTGGGTTGGCTGTGAGCCGCTCTGGGCTGCTGCAGCGGCTGCTGAAGGCTTTGCTGCCTTTGCAGCGTCCGAGGTCGCGGGCATTTCGGCTGCTGTTCGCCCACCGGCACAGATATGTGTTCCAGTGTGGAGGCTGCTGAGAGGGAGGGGTCGTCCAAGCTAATGGAACCAGCAAGGCACAAGGGAACACACAAGACAGAGAGAGAGAGAGACAGAGAGAGGGGGAGAGAGGAGAGAAAGGAAGAGTACAGGAGAAAACAAAAGCAAAGCAGAGTTAGAGAGTGTCTCCTGCAATGAAAATTCAGCACTGTGGTAGTTAGTTTGGAATCCGTTAACACATCACTGACAGAAAATTGGACTATGATCAACTCCAAGTGGCGGCTTAATTTGATCTGGCTTCTTCTCAGCCCGTGGCAGGCACAGATTGCTGGAACTCAGGAGAGGCAGAGCTACACTTGGAATGAAAGAGCTACAGCACCGAGAAAGCATCACCCCCACCCCCCCTCCCTCGTCCGTCCCTCAAACCCTTACGTGTAACAGTGTGCGGAACCAGCATCAGCACCAAGCTAATGGAAGGGTGAAGAGGTGGGTGGTTGGAGAGGGAGGGAGGAGAAAGAGAAAGCAAAGGCACTTGCATCTACAGAGGTCCACCCGGTTAATAGGCAAGACTTGCACGCACACACGCACACAACACACACACACACACAAGGATGACAATGGAAAACAATGCACCAAACATTTTTTTTTCGCGTAAGTGTACACCTCTGCCCTAACTCTGTATTGTCCTCTATCAGCAATATCACCTGGATATTAATTTTGGAAATGGTAAGATGTGTGTGTGTGTGGTGGGGGGAGGGGGGGAGGGGAGAGGGGTGGGGGCAGTAGCCATATGTTTCCAACATTAGCTAACGTCCCAAAACACCTTACAAAGATGCTGAGAGGGCGGGTGAGGGAGTTGAGCATATTCACCAGACCAAATACAGGGAGACATTCCAGAGCATTGAGGCTTGCACTCAAGCTGTTGTTGGTGTAACCTTACAGATCTTCTGTGGGTGGCTATACAGAAGAGAAGCTACCAGCAGATTAGGAATGGAAGAGAAAAAAACGTTAATGATCCCATCGTTTTCCAGGTGGAGTTTGACCTTTGGTCCTCTATTAGTTTACTCGGACGTTAAAAAGTTATCGATCCATTCGTTTTCTTTATGGCCTGTGGAGGACATCGTTAAAAGACAAGGTTCAAGTCTGAAACCATTTGTTCAAGTCGTCCTGCAGCAGGACTGTACTAAGTAAACCCTACACAAGGACCTCAAACAACCAGGGAGAGAGAACTTCCTTCGGGGATGTCTTACCCATCACTGCTGTGCATTCATTCACACTAATTATCCAGATGCCAGTTGTGTTCCTACCCATTACAGTGCGTCATTGCCTTTGGCAGGAGGAGCGAATGCTTTGTTTGTTTGTTTGCTCTCTACCCACCCTCCCAAATCCTGCAGGAGATGGGAAACGATTTCCTCGAAGAAGCTTTGGATTACTGCCTGAGACTGACAGTAAAGCATTTAATACAGTGCTGTGCCCGAACTCCTGTTGTACCAAAAATTCCCATTTTGGACACTTTTTACACCTGTAAACAAAGAATAATTGGCGCCCTGAAAGGGAATCCCTGGGTGTAATACTGTATAGATGCAGAGTTCAGTGGTAGAAATGTAAAGAGCTAAAGATTGAGCTGTTTAAACGACCATCTGCATATCACTGCAATCTTGAAAACACATCTCTGTAATACAGACAGTCAGAAGGGGTGATCGTTCCAGTTTGGCTGCGGCGGGTTTCCCTGGCGGGTTTCCCTGGAGTGAGTGAGTGCCTACTGGGAATGCCATCCACGGCCCTGCAGCCATGTTTCCGAAATTCTAGCCTCCTCTCAGCCTGTGAGACGATTCACTCGGAATTGTGGAAAATTCTGAAAGTCAGCCTCGATCTGGAAGCCGTTTTCTCTCTATGAACGAACAGGCATCCTGTTTAAGAATTAATTTAATTTTCCACTATTCTGTGTGACCTTAGAGGTTAAGACAAAATTATCTTAAATGCTGGAAATTTGGGCTTCGGAAGTGTAAGAGGATTAAGCAACATGCATCACCGGCTGCCAGAATGTATCAGAGCACTTGATACACAATACAAAATACATTGACACAGCACCTTTCAAGTCGGGAAGACTGCTCAAATCGCTTTGACACTGCTGACTGGGCACCCGAACTGGGAGTAGGACCCGAAGGGGGTGGGAAAGGATAAAAATGACCGAAGGTGCGGTCAAATAGGTATGTTTTGAGACAGGCTTTGATCTCAAATACCTCAGTTTTGATGGAAGTGCTGATATACAGTAAATTCAGACCCAAAGCAAAGGACAAGGCAGGCACGCAAACTACATCCACAATGTGGGACAATGTTGCTCGTTCCAAATCAGAGCAGAAATCATTCAGTTTTCCAAGTCAATTTTAAATGTTCCACAGTGCACAGCAGAATCTACATCCTCTACACATGGCAACGCACACTCTGGGGTCCCCAAGCCTGGACTCCTGCCAACCTTTGCCTAATACTCTCTGTAATTAGGTAAGTAGGAGGATGCATTCCTCCAGGGAGAGAGTGCGCATTCCATTCCAACAATCTATCTCTTGATTTCCATGTGTAGGTGTGATGCATGGAATTCTGAGTTTGGTTTGCATACTCGTAAGCATGGGGATGAGTTTCCGCATGTATCAGACACCCAGAACAACAAAAACACATGGCGTGCGTTACACCAGCAGACATGAACTAAGAGGGTGAAGGGGTGGGAGGCGGGATGTGAGAGAGAGTCACTGAACTTCAATTCTGCCGGCCTATATATATCTCTCTTTGAGCTACAGGTTGACTTGTTGGCTGGGAAGTCAGGCAGTAATTAACAACAACAGCACCTTGGTTTGGTTCTGATTGCATTCTGGTTGCTGAGGCTTGGACTGGACTGAATTACCAGCCCCCTAGATAGAGAGACTTTGAAGCCGGATTGACATCAGATTGCTGTAAACATGCAGACCGTAACTTGGTGCCGACAAAACACGACAGACGACATGAAGCTGGTCATACCACACAGAGCGCGGATTGCATTAGAGCAGACAGCACCTTAACGCTGCCATGACACACTGACCTTACACTACCAAACATGGAACAGAAATATCAAGCACATTGGACACAGATAGACCACACCAGAGCTTCTGTACAAGTGCAGCAACAATGGGCTGAAACATGGAACACGTCAGTATTGCATTTACAACGTAAAGGCCCCTATATCAGGTTCCCACAAACTCGCAACAGACTCCTGGTTGACTCCAGCACATCGATTAAAGCTTCAGCATTCATATTAAAAGAACCCTTTTCATCCATCACACTGATTACTGCGATTGCATTGTTTGTAACACATTGCCCGATTGTAACAATAGAGGCAACCTGACTGAGATACTTTGAATTGTACAAGGATGTTTATGCCTAAGATATAAACCTTAAGAGAATTGTAAAAAAAAGCCAAGTGACGCAAATTTCAATTCAACATTCAAAACTGTGGATCCCCAGTTAGTGTACATCTGCAATACAGTGTATTGATCATCAGTAGGTGTATAATTATAACACAGTGTATTGATCCCCAGTCAGTGTATAATTATAACACAGTGTATTGAATGCTGGTCAGTGTATATCTGTAATACAATGTATTGATCACCAGCAATTGTATATCTGTAATGAACAGTATAATCAGCCGGTGATTGAGCCTGATTGAATATTTTTTGTCCCAACGTGTTGACTGTGGTGATACCTTGGTATCAAAGTGAAACAGTATAATGTGCAAGTCGCCCACTCCTACCCAGACGTGGCCTATTATCATCACTCGGACGTTACTCCTGTTCCGCACATCCAACCCGTTGCTTCTCAATTTGATTGTGGAATATTTCAGTCCAAGACGAATATTGAGCCCAAATGTTAAAAAGATACAGGTGTGTGGAAGCCAGAGTTCTACCAGAGTCTTACCAGTAGTTATTGGGAGACATTCAACGGGAGCACAGACCAGATACATCAGCCAAACAAATGAAGTAGACAGAGCAAATGAAATAGCAACAACAACAACAAGATTCCATTTATAGAGCGCCTTTCACGTCGGGAGGACGTCCCAAGGCGCTGTACAGTTGGGTCAGGACCCGAGAAGGGGGGAAATGGTCAGGGTGAGGGGAGGGAAGGGAGGGAGCGAGGAGTGGGTAGAGAGTCGAGAGGGGAGCTGAAGGCTCGGTCAAAGAGAAAGGTCTTGAGACCGGCCTTGAAGGAGGAAAGGGAGGAAGCGGCGAAGGTACTGGGGGGATAGAGTTCCAGAGCCGAGGAGTTGAGAGGCTGAAGGCCCGACCACCGATGGTAGGGCGGTTGAGGCGGGGGATGTGGAGCAGACCGGAGCCAGAGGAACGGAAGGTACAGGCAGTAAGTAGGGGGATAGTAGGTCGGAGAGATGAAGGCAGCTGACCCCGGTTCTCACAGTCAATTCCTCTGCCTAAATGAAGTGACTATTTTTACATTACTTGCTGTAGTCTGTTGTAATAGCAAATTGTTTGGATACGTTATGATTGTCATTGAAGATCTCTGCCCTTTCAACATTTTAATGTTCCATTGAAACAGTTTTGATGAAATATGTTCAGTGAGCATTAAGCGCAGCCCTGAAGGTGATTCGCAGTTATAGGTGACAATTCCATACGTGGCCAACATTGCCAAAGACGGTGCATGCAACGCTTGCTGGGAATTTTTCCCTGTATATTTTTCCTATGTCTGTATACCCTTTCTAACACGTGCATGTGACTAGGAGACATGGCTGCGAGTGCAAGAATGAGCAGAAGAGGCATAGCCATGAATGTGAGCAGGAGGTATGAGTGTGAGTAGTTAATATTAGAAGCTGAAATTAAATCATCCATAATCTGTCTCATTTTCTTTGAGCCCCTCAGCTCCCTGGAGCTCCTGACATCTCCACTTTACTGATACGATATCCAATAGTCAGCAGCCTTTAAACCCAAGCGCATGACCACCTAACTACTACTTGTTTCTGTTTCTTTCACTCTTCTCACCTTTGGTTGTGTCCTGCACTCTAGTTCTTTGCCCTTCCCTGAGGTTTGTCAATATCAGTGAAGTCTGGTGTGAAATGCATTAACCATTACGGCAAGATTACGTTGTGGAGTCCTGCAGCTCAGTGGTTAGAGCACTCGCTTTGCAAGTGAGAGACCTGACTTCAATTCCAGGCAAGGCGAAACCTTGGGCAAGTTTCTGTACTCCATATGCCTAATAATAATCCCTCCAAAACCAAAAACAATAATAAATTGGTCATTTTCAATCCATGACTGTTTGTGGGACATTGCTGTGCGCAATTGGCTGCCGCGTTCGCCCACAAATATACAGTCAATTCACTTTACATTGTGTTCTGTGAACCACTTTGGGACGTCCTCCCGACGTGAAAAGTGCTGTATCAAATGCAAGGATTATTATTATTATTATTATTATTAAGATCTAAGCAACGAGTCAGGAAGCTCTTATACCTCAGTGATGGTGAAACACACGTGGGGACTTAATCTGTGATATTCCTTAACAGATTCCTAAATAAGAAATCTGGGAGTTAACGAATTTCTGGAATATCGAATGTGCTGAATTGATTCAATAATGGTTTCAGAAATTCGATAATACATTTCTTCAGCACGATGAATGCAATGGGGGAATCTGCTGATTTCTTAGCTGTTAAGAAAAACTCCAAATTAGACCAGTTCCACCTGGGGGCAGCCTCATCTATCCTCGTGTTGCCCATTGATTTTATTACATTGTTGGGAAAGAACTGGCAGATATGTATTGAAAAGCTATTTGCAGTTCTGTGTGGGAACACACAGCGAGGCCAGTAATTGTTATCGGTGATGTCAGAAGACATTGATTACAGTGTGAAAAGAAAATTTAAGGCCACAGATCCTATCCTGCTGTAACATACAAAAGCTAGCAGATGATTATTTCCAGACTTCTGACAGATTATACCTGTGATATAAAGAGGGATTATGAACTAAACAAGAGATTATTGCACATACTCAGCATGTATAATATTGACTGTGGAATCAGGGCATGTGTTTGGGCTTTTGAGTTTCCATTGCACCAATCTTTAATCCTTAAAAACTATTTGAATAACAGGGTTTCACATAATTCTCTCCAGAGCTCCAGAACTGCAGTAGAAAGCACTAACGTACATTTACCCACCAGCTCCCACAGATCAACAAAGCTCAAGGTCACATACTGTTAACAGAGAATGAAGAGAAACGGATGTATACTCACCATTAGACCAGCAGGATCAATGGCTGCATGCCTAACATTACACCAGCAGGGAAACCAAAGCAACATCTACCATTACGATAGCAGGGAACCACAACGACCAATATTTATCTCAGCAACAGAACTGCAATACAGCACTGATCATTGCACCAGCAGCAAGATTATTGCCACACCCACTCACTACTGCACCAGCAGAAAAACACAACACATACCATTAAACCCAGCAGGAAATTTCAACACCAACATCCACCATTAATTACACCAGCAGCAAGATTAATGCAACACCCACTTCTATTGCAGCAAGGAAACCAACACAATACGTACCATCACACCAGCACGGAAATTCAAGACACATCACTGAAACCAGCAGGGAATTGAAACACCCACTGTCATACCAGCAGGGACAACACAGCACACACCATGACACCAGCAGGGAAATTCAAGTTGCATCATTACACCAGCAGGCAAACAGAACACCCACGACCAGACTAGCAGGAAAAATGGGTGCAGGACCTACCATTGCACCTCCAGGGAATAAATAGCACATACCACCATTAAACCACCTAGAGTAAACAGGGGCATATACCCAGCAATTGACTGCCTGCACGTTCACAAGGACAACACTTACCTCTGGTATTCTGCATCTAGACGCAGACCTTCAGCTGTCACTGAGGACAACGTATTAAGTCGGTCACGGACTGGTCTTATCCAAAGGGACATGTTGTTTGTCCCTCTGTACAAGCTCATGGTCATGGCATGGTGCAGAAAGTACTTTATGAATGAATAGAAAGATATTTTGTCCATCTGTGTGTGGAGTCCATCATTTTAGTTCTAAAGGACAGACATCTGTGAACCTAAGGGGGCCAAATTCAAGTTAGTTATAAATAAAATCCAGCATTTCTAAATTGATATTCAATTCATGTTTTTTTTTGCTTTTTTGAGGAGTTGACGTAAATTATTGATACACCGAATGGGGTTTATCCTGTGTGAAGTTGAACATGAGTAGATAACTAAGAATTGTGTCAATAGTCCCTATACTTGATTTATTACATCCCAACCTGGTTTGGTGTCCACTTTCTGACTCAGAGGAACCTACCAAAAATGAAGCATTGAACTCACCACGCATGATTTTGGCAATAGATATTCCACTTACAAGTGACTTGGTGTAAGGTGCTTTATAATCCCCCATACTAACAAGATTTTTGAAGATGTCCCCCCCAAATAATAATTGGTCACTCAATCCACAACTGTTTTGGGGATATTAATAAACACATTGGCTGCCGGTTTCACCCACAAAACATAGTATATTCTGTGAATCGCTTTAAGACGCCTCGGAGATACGATAATGTGCAAAAGCAAATGCAAGGATTATTATTATTATTATTACTATATTTATTGGTTGAACAGAGCTTGATGAAGAATCATCAGACTCCAGAAGACTGGATAAAGCCAAGCTGAGGACAGTCTCCACCCGCAATCTCTTTCACTACATAATTGTCTACGTGTTTAATGGCCTCCGCACCCCTCCCCCTCCAATTACTTTTGGACTTTATGGCAGAGAGAAAATTAGCTTTAAACTTTGTTATGGACGTCCACAACTGATCAACAAGACATTGACAAAACACCTTTCGGTGGCGTGGGATGTGTGTGACTCAGTGAATTAATTTAAACCAAAATGCATGGAACACATTTCAACAAAATGTGAATTTCAACAGGTGGGGACGTGTATAATGTGATGGCCGACTGACACAATTCACAGCTCTGAAGGGAGCTGCAAAATGGGAGACCTACCATACCAATGCCAATTTCCGTACAAGACAATTTTAAGGTCAGAAGATTTGTGTGATCCGGCACAGACTCAGTAAGTAATTAGCTATCCACGTGAAACTCACTTAGCTTGGTTGAGCTTGCCCGATGCTAGGAGAGTCTGGACTGTATGCCAGCGCCCACCTTTCCCTGCCTTGCCATTGGCAGCTTCAACCCGATTACTGTTGGAAGATCCGCTGCTCTTCACGCTGTTGCTGCGGGCTTGCTTCTCGGCTGAGCGTAAGTCTTTTTCGTGTAATGGAGCTTTGTTACCCGACATGAGAGTGCCGCTGAGACGGACAGGAAGCAGAGTGGACAGAGAGAGAGTCAGCCCTCAGTGAAGAATGGTGTAGAGTAGCTCTGCCGCTACAACTCGATAGCACATACCTACACAGACCCATTCTTCAAAAGCTCAGGGAAAAAAAGACAACAGAGGAGGGGAGGAATGTGGAGTGGATTGTGAGGTGGAGGGTGGGGTTGGGGGGTTCAACATTAACTCTTAAGAGAAACCTTACCAATACCAGCATTACCAGACAACTACAACGCATATGCACCCATGTTTACTTAGTTCGAGCATGTAGAGCAACGGAGCAAACAACTTGTATACAAAGCTTAACACATCACATCAAGGGAGGGTTTCAGCTGTCCACACCTGAGCCCTGAAATTCCCCTCACTCTTAGCCTGGAAGGCCGACCATTTTGTCTTAATTTGAGGTGGCACAGAACTGTATGAAAATTCTTAAATTCAGTCTCGATTTGGAAGCCAGCTTTGTTCTAAGCTATTTCCAAACTGAAGGGTGAATATAAGAAATTTCCACAATTTGGGAGGCGGGGGGCGATCATAACTTTTAGGATACAATGGACTGATAGGCTAAGACTATGTGGAATTTCAGATCTCAGGGCAGTACATGATCAGCAGGGTTGTTCGTTTCCATGCAGTCATCATCCATAGGGTGGGTGTGGGGTGTGGGAGGGACAGGATTGTTGAAGGAAAGAGTCTGGGAGTGGAACTGGGTGGACAGGTAGGTAAGGAGGGTTACATTCTCACTATATAACAACCAAGCCATTGAAAGAAACTCACTTGAGTGAAAGCCGTGGGTCACCATATGGTGCATAAGGCGAAATATTTAGAATGAACTCCTTTGGAGGGTAGGAACTCCATTTCTGGTGCACTGTGCTGTCATTGTTATTCCAAAAGTCTCTGTCAAGATCACTAGAGCAGCAGAGAGAGAGAAAAGAAAAAGAAGGAAACACAACAAAAGCTGAAATATGAAGAAATGCTGGTTAAGTCCCGTGATGTTCCGGATCGTGTCTCTCATATCACTGAAGCACTTGGCAGCTGAGTGCTGAAAGGATGCCTGGCAGAGGAAGCAGGTTATCATCACTCAATGGGTTGGATGGGGATCAACAGTGTAATAGCGCCAGTGCCTCTATCTTTGGGAGACTTAAATCCTGACTTTGCTCTAAAATTTGGCTTTAGGAGAAAACAACTGTGTTAATTAAGGTAATTGGATACACAGCTCAAACATATGGGGTGGGGGGGGGGGGGGGGGGGGGGGGTGTTGGGGGATGGTGCGGATGGGGAAAGAGTTAAGAGTTTGTTAGACAGAAGGCAAAGGAAAGTTAGATACATCAACAGATAGCTTCTCGACAAAGCTCAGGGTTGACCTAACATCAATACCAATTGGAAGTGCGATGTATGGCGGTGCTTCCAATCACGGCACATTTTACAATCTTTGTATTAAGCATTGTGCTATGCAAACATCCCCCCTATTCCCCACCCCCCCGCCCACGATGGGTGCCAGCTAGAGAGCTGAGCGTTGGAAGGGAAGCAACATCTACCCATAGTGTATCGCACTACTCAGCTGGTTTAACAAATCATAATGAGAATCTTCCATTGCGTGCTTATAAACATCACTTCTGTTGATCTTTTTTTCAAAGGGCTCGATTAAAACATCTTTTGATCTAACTGATAAGTCAAGCAGTGCAGCGACACTCATTACTTTCCAGTAAGTTTCAAACTTGAAAGACCATCTGCTGCAGTCAACGAGTACGATCTGAGCGCCCTAATTAATTGAGTCTATCATCACACTTATTATGAAGTGCCTGAATCAAAAAGAATTGTGCTTGAGGATGAGAGAGTGAGCCTGACTCTGAGAGAGAGAGGGCGACTACACACGTACTGTTAGACCACATCTCCAACCATAATCACTGAGCTCAGAAACACGGTTTTTACACAAGGCTTGCTTTCCAGATAAAACTAGTGGCAGAAGTCCTGTTAATTCCTCCGATGCTTTCAGTGAATTTATCATAAATCATAATATCCTTTAATCACAATTTATGACAGTGCATGTAAGGCCAAATAGGATGTCTGTGAAAGGTGGGGACTGGCTTTAACCTTTTGAGGATGACAGACAGCATTTGCTTACCACAGGATGTTCCAAATTTAGCTCAGGTGGCAACTTTCCAACCTCACAGCCTTGTGTTTCTCCAACCTCACAGCCTTGTCACTCACTGTGGTTCCACCTTGGACTCTGCTGAGTTTTTGCACTGAAATCAGAAACCTATTGGCTCAAGAATCCAGATAGAAGTTGGCTGAAGAGACGTCATATCTGAGAAAAGTTTTCACGGAACAGTTAAGGGGAGGCTAACAGATTTTTTTTTCACCCAGAAGATTACACAGGAACATACAGGATTGGAATGAATATTGTCTGATTTTTAAGTTTTTTTGAAATAAAAAAATTCTCTCTTTTATATTCCTCAACTGAATTCCGACTGAGAGAGAGAGCGAGATCATCTCTCACAGAACTGACAAAACACAGAATATATCCTGTACATGGTGAAAACTTTTTACCATGTTTTACAGTTTTTCAATGATTTATGTGCTCATCAATCAACCAGTGTTGTTGTTGGGAGTAGTTTTTCTGCCGTCTCTGTCAGCACTTTCACTGTTCCAGCCTGAAAGTTAGATTGAGGGTACACCTTTCCCTACACTGTCCCATCCAGCATTCCCAGGTAAGGAACAGTACAGAGTAGGTACAGAATAAATGAATGAACATCCCGCTACACAGCCCATCCACAATCCCAGGTCAGATACAGTTAGATGAGAGACTTTGATACCAGTATGAGCTAGATTGAAAACCCGAGTGAAAACGTAAATTCCTTCTGAGATACAGGAACATCAACGACAACTTACATTGATTACAGGGTCTTTCAGGTAAGCAAAGAGCTTGGCTAATAGAGCAGTGAAACTGGGGCATATTAAGTTCAAACAAGTTGACAAAAGGGAAGATCAAAGAGAGAAAATGTGCATCTTGTTTGAAGGCGGAAAGATAGAGAGAGGCAGCAGGCAAAGTGTTTTGTTGAAAATGAGTTCCAGATGAAGGGACACGCTTTGGATGACTGCCAACTTTTATAGGATTTTATGTTTAAAAAGAAATGGGGAATCCATTTGAAGAACAATGTAAAAGGGCACATGAAATTGTAAGGAACTGGGTTTAGAGTGGCTGGCTCTAGTGGAGGAGGTGATATCAGCGTGAATTAAACGGGCCAAATGACTTCTTTCTGTGCCGAGGTCAGTGCTTGCGCTTGTTAGGTAAAGATACTCACAGCCAAACCAATGTAGAGACTCCCAATTGTACCTCAATACCCATGTCAATACGAAGAAACATCAAGTTGCAATGTTTGCTTTCAGTTGTTGCTCTTACGCCTGTGATATACTCCAGAGTTAACAGTCAATAATAAAAACAAAAAGTCAACCTCTTGCCAGCAGCAGTTTCCCTTGGCCTAGAGAGGAGCTCCGAGAGATGATCATTTGCTATGTAGCAGGTGTAAATATCAGTAAGTATTAGTTCCTGAGCTAGCTTCACTGGATTCATTGTTAACAATGATTGAGGTCATCTTGTAGAGTTTGCAAAGATAGGGCAGCAAGTTAGCAAACGCCTCTCAAGCGAACGTGCCTTACAGTGCACCAAATCACCAGTAATTCTTTTTAAACATGTTGTGTTATCTCTCCTCTACCCAGTAAGTAACCCCTCTCTCTATGTGATGCTCACTTTGAGAGCTGCACAGAAACCATTCGGCAGCGACAGAGCGTGAAAGAAAGAGAAAGCATTGATTTCTTTCCGCAAATGAAGTAAATGTAGGTGACCTTGCTTAAAAAGAATTCTTAATCAGCTGTTACCTTTCTGCTCTCAACATAAACCAGCAGCGGCCTCCTTAGCTGCGCTGTATCCTCAATGGCATTTCTATTCTGCTCTAACGTTATCCATTGATCTTGATATTACAGTACTTATTCTCAGGTCAAAATCATTTCCGTGCCAAATGAGTGTGCTTATTTCAAGGATTACCAGAAATATTTCAGGCATATTAGGGAATCTCGTACTTAGGGTTTCTGGTGATATATTTTGACAAGTTAATATACGCTCTTCTGTAACTTGAGCTCTTGTTACACACAAACCAAGAATAAGAATCTATTCATGGCAACTCTATGGATGCCGATTGTTGCAGAGATCAGTGCACTGGATGTACGGAATCCAGCAACATAAGATTAACTCATCAATAAGCATTGTCTAAAAGTGTAGATTGGTGGTCACTTCCAACAGTATCTGTTGGGCAAAAGGCGAGATATACATCAGAAACCATCATCGGAAGACAAGATATGTATCATCCAAGCTGGGAGATGGGTTGGATGGCATCATGGCTGGAAGGAAAGTAAGCTATTGGTCATGGCTTGGAGGTGAGTTGGGTTCTACTTTATTGGTTTATTGGGTTTTTTCCAAAGCCAAATGTACCCCAGTGTTGTTCCGGAAAAAATCCATTGTGTTGAATAAAGACAAGTCCCTTTGTTTGGCTGCAAGGCACGCACAACCTAGGTCCCAATCCTGGAATATAAGGCACCAATCAATGTTCAAGAAATGCCCTTTGCCTTTTCAAAAAGACACGCCTGTTCTATATAGAATCTTCACCCTCTCCTAATACGGTTAATTGGAAGCAAAGTTCGGTATCGTCAATTGATGCCTTCAAAGTGTTGAGACATGCCTGAAACAAACAAGCACCCAGACAGAAACCAAACCAAGTGTCCACACAGCACACCCATACAGTGCACAGAATGGGACTGAGAGATTAATTATAGGTAACAGAGCCATCCATTGCCAATGACTCTTTGGACCGACAGGACAGAATAACTGAAGTACAAATCTTTGTTAGTCAATAGCAAAGAAGAAAGTCCTGGTAACTATGGAAACAGAGGTCTTGTGCCTCAACACAAAGCTCCTTATGATTATTGGAGATAATTAGATTTGCTTCAAGAGCACAATCACTACACAACCCATGAGGGAATACATGGGCTGTAATCTCACTGACTGTATATGCTAATGGTTCAGTTTGTACTCTGGTATCTGTGTTATGTAGACTTGCTGTGTTGCATGCTCACAATTGTAGCAGAGGAGTTGATAGGAATATTAAAGGGAGTGGAGAGCAAGCAAGACAGTGGGCTGAAATGGCCCTTTAGATACAAATGATGGACCGAATGATCTGTTCTGTGCTGTAACAGTCTATGATAAACTGAATGGGCAACTGGGCAACTTTTTATCCAATGCCCAATTTGCAGCACACAGTTACATTTGAAAGTAGATCTGTACGTTCGCAGTTTATAAATCCTTCTCGTTGGAAAATCCCCTAGCTACGTGGTGGTCAGCTTCATCAACAAAAGGGATTAAAGAACCGAGCAGCACTCTTCACAAAGAGAATTCCAAATTCTGAATGGCAGAAAGAGTAAACGAATGGTGCCCCTCTCAATAGCACTAGTGAGATCTCTGCTCTGCCAGTTCGGCTGTGCATGGTTCAGCTGCTGCTGTTATCTCACATGTGTGTGTTTCCATTGCCCCTTGATTTCCTGTGGTCTCTTACGCAGGTGGGCTTACTATCATCCTCAAGAATTCTGGTACTTTCTTTCCTTCAGACAAATCATTAGTGGGAGCACAGGAAGGGGAAGCAGTGGTGAAGCATTGGCTTGTGACATACCAAAGATTCCAGGTATCCAAATAAAATTTGTCATTTTGGTTTGACCTTCCCCATATGCGTCCTTCACCCCCCAGATGATCCCCACACCATCACATATTCTGAGTTGTCTTCTTAAAGATATTGACAGGATAGGCTAGGGTTGTTCAACCTTGAAAGAGGCATATTATAGAAATGTATATTATAGAACTGCACATCCCAAACGTGTTAAAGAAAGTAAACGAGAACAAAATTTTCAGTGCTGGATTAGGCAATGCTGATGGGAGTTTCACTCTATATATAAAACCCATTCCACTCCAGACATAGGAATGCTGGATAGCCCAGTGGGGAGGGAACTTGACTCTGCATCTTTACTGTATGAAACCCATCTTACACCTGACCTAGGAGTGCTTAAAGCCAACACTGGTGTCATCCCCTCTGTTTTCAGTGATCCTATTGTTAAATAACCAATTAATAGTCCTGTAGCTCAGTGGTTAGAGCACTCGCCTTGCAATCGAGACACCTGGGTTCAATTCCAGGCAAGGCGAAACCTTGGGCAAGTTTCCTTACTCCACACTCCTAATAATAATCCCTCAAAAAACAAAACAATAATAAAATTGGTCATTTCAAACCAAGACTGTTTGGGCACTGCTGTGCGCAATTGGCTGCCGCGTTTCGCCCACAAATATATACGGTCAATTCACTTTACAGTCTATTCTGTGAAGCGCTTTGAAATGTTGAGAAGACGTGAAAAGCGCTATATCAAATGCAAGGATTATTATTATTAATATAAATGGCTCCTGAAGATTACATGGGGGATGCTAGTGCCACAGGGGAGGGAGCTGGGGGTAAAGAATTAAGGGTGTGAAGGGTAAGGAAGCAGCAGAGTGTTAAGAATCATTTTCATCCATGTATTGGAAGAGTGAGAATTACTTTTTTCCGGTTTCAAACTTTATTTTTGACATTTTGCTACTGATTTCGGTACTGCAAGCTACTGTGGTCTTCAAAGGGTTAATGTTTGTTCCACAAATATTGTGAATTTCAGTATAATCTGGTCCACAAGCCTTATCTGCAGACGTACACGGATATGCATTATGTATGGTTTACAAACACATGCAATGTACAAGTATTGCCCATGGAACCTCTTATGTGGCTTGCCCTCTGGATTGTACAGCTCTTCACACAACACAGACCAGACTATGAATTGTTTATAACTGTGAAGGGACGGGGAAGATAAAAATGTTCTGTCTCAACAAGGAAGCCGAGCTTGCTGCCGAGTGAGATCAGAGGAGCGTGTTTTCAGGAACTCTGGAGCTGCTGAGAGACGTGACGAGCTGTTTTGGTGACCGAGAAGACGCCAGAGAAAGCCCGTCCGAGAGGAGATTAAGGAAAATTGGAGAAGTGCGGGTTGTAGACAATAGGCAAGATGTAATGAGGCTGAAACTTAATCGAGGAAACGTTATAAAACCACGAGAGTGAGGCTTGATCAGTTTAAGCACAGCATCTGAACGCTAGGATTAAATTGCAGTCTAGGACTGTCCTCCATGGATACTTTTCCAACAATATACGCCATAATCTCATTGAAAGTGAAATCAGTATTAACGGCAGTCAGAAATAACACTAAAGAGAATTTATATTGTTACAGAATAAAATTCCACAACCACAGAACGGTATCATTGTAACTATCGGTTAACGTGAGGGGAGAATTATTAAGGCCCCCGACCCAATGTATGTTATATTTCTGAATTAAAAAACACTGACGAATAGTATGGGCACCAACCACAATCAAGCTGATTCCATCATGCCACTATGCTGCACGCAACAATTTGCCATCAAGGCTTTTGCTTTCTGCAAAATAGTGTCCCAATGTCCTCTTACTGCAGGTAGGGGGGTGCTGTAAAAGGTTTAACGCAATGATTTATTTGCTCACGTTTTCACTCCGTGCCTTTGCTGAGCTTTTGCAAGGTGAAAGTTCTCACAGTCAATGATTAATGGAAGGAGAGGATACCAAATGAGATACCAAACAACGAAAGCAAGTTCAAATTACTCGAGGGTTTGCTTTTTGGCCTAAAGTCGGGGAGATACAGCCCTGACAAGCGGAGGGTCAACATCACATCGGGTCACGTGGTGCGAGATGGGGAGTGTGGTTTTTAAGACCTTTGGTAGGTAAGTGAAAGGCATGTATCATTACTGGGATCATTGGCTCCAATACTGGAAATGTATATAGTGGACCACAGTACCACTGCAGTCCAGTTTACCCCCACAACTTTCCATTGGGCTGATATGAAACAGTGTGATGTATGGAAAGGCTGCCCCGATATGAACCCGAACAGTCAGTAAGGGACAGGATCCAGTCACGGTGACGGGCGCTACATTAACCTGGGACGGAATAGAACGGGGCTTGGAGCTGGTGGTAGCTGATGCTGATGCGCATATCCTTTCCTTTAGCTGAAAACGATCTTAAAGAAATTGTACCAGTGAAGAGTACATTTAAACGCTGAGAAAAGAAACCGGTAAGAATCACATAATAATCAGACTTGATTCACAGATTAAGTTTCAGCCGAAACTGTTTTTAAACGAAAACAAACGTTTGAAGATTGATTCATGAAGGTAACGAGGTAAGGGAACTTGTTTGGGTTTGGTTTCTAACTTAACTTCTATAAGCAAACATGGACGGGTGTGTTTCCACATCAGCTCTATTTGGTTCCTCCACACAGTGTCAGGGACGGCAGTGTTAAATTAGTACAGAGAGTGTCACTGGACTGTGAATAATCTCCGCTCGATCGGGTCAGAGCTAGAAACGCCAGATTTAATGTTTACGGAGAGAAATGACCTCGTGAGATGTTATAACCATCTCATTTGCTGCGGGAGGCAGTGCAGTTAAAATAAGTGTATTCCTTTCAGACCTTTTGTTACATTCCCTCCACAAACTCCGGAACAGATAGGGTAACACGGCGCATTTCCCAGCTCACAAACGCACAATGTATTGGCCTCCATGAGTGAACGTCGCAAGGCAACTCTGAACTCAGGATTTTCCTCCCATTTCCGTACCAGCTGTAGGAGAGAGAGAGAGAGAGCCATCGAGGTTGCTGAGACAGAGCTGTGCGCCCGACAACTCACTCCCCACAGCCCATCCCTGAGCGTATTAAGAGAAAGAATCAAGCATGTTGTGTTTTCTTCTGAGAGACTGCAGACATCTCCCTGGTTAACATGGAAGGGATTCCTTGTGCAGTGGTGGGAGGGGGGAAGCGGTTGGCTGGGAAGAAGATAATCCTTTTGCTGTTCCAGATGGCAAACCCCATCAGAAGAGAAATAATAATACTGTAACAATTGCTAAACACCTTACAATGACCGGAGACGCACTTCATACACATCACAAGAGCCCTGTGCGAAGAAAGATAAACGCTGGTCAGCCAAGCTGGGGGGCCCGATATTCCCCCTCCCATCCTCCACCTCCCTTCCCACCCCCCCACCCACCCCCGCCCAGGGCACCTACTTGATGGCTTTCTTCTCATTGCGGCCTCGATTGGAGTCCGGTGTGCCAACTGCTTCCAGGGAACTCTTGTGTCTTTTGCCCTTGAAGATAAGAAAATAAAGAGAGAATCATTTAATGCACAGAAATGCAAACTCTGTATGAATGTATCAGGCGTGTGTGTGTGTGTAGGGGGGAGGGGGGGGAGTAAAAACGCCTCTGTCAAGGTCACAGCAGCACCAGTTTGAGCCTCCCACCAACCTGTGAGAGGTTGTCATAATAATCCCTGCATCATTTGATGCAGTGATCTTCACTTCAGGCGATCGTCTCAAAGCGCCTCGCAATTTTTACTGTGTAGTGTAGTGGCTGTGTATTTAGCGGCAGCCAATTTGCACGCAGCAATGGCCCACAAACAGCCACCGAGTGAACAACCAATTTTGTATGGGGGATTGTTGGCCAGGACGCCGAGAGAAACTCCCTTCTCTTTCCCAATAGTGCCGTGGGATCTTTAACGTCCACCTGAACAGGCAGACGGGACCTTGGATTAACATTTCAACCGAGGAACAGCACCTCAAAGAGTTCCTCAGCACCGCAATTGCAACATCAGACTGGACTATGTGAGTTTGAATTCCTGTCGATGGTGATCGAACCCACAACCTTCTGACTCAGAGGAAAAAGAGCTTCCAGCAGAGCCACCTACCCGGACATGGGAGTTTATGTGTGAATGGGATGCTCACTCTCGCAATCCAACCTTTTCACACTGTAACTGTTTAAAAACGTTTGTTCTGAGGGGATTATGTTTCAGGAATATGGGATGACAACCATATCTGGATTGAGGTCAGTAGGACGCAGAAAAATGCTCACAGCGTATTTATTACTTCCGTCAGCTATCTGTCTGTAAATGAAGATCGCTCTGCCCTGCCCCCATTTGCCTATGAAATACACAATCATCAGACTGTACAGAAAACTCTGTGAAGCACTTTGAGATATTTCTGAGGTTATAGGGAGCTTTAGCAAACGCACGTATTATTATTCTCAAGAGACAGAATTGCGATTTCTAACCGTGATGGATCCAGTGCCTCAGATACCCAGTAGATGGCGCCAATGTGTGTTGGCATCAAAGCAGTGATAACACACCGCTCAAAAAATATTCCCTTATCCCAAATGAGAAAAGAATTATTAATTGAACCTTCAACCCATCACTGTGTGTGTGTGTGTGTGTGTGTGTTGGAAGTGGCGGGAGAGGACCTTGTTAACACAGTCCAGTGGCAGCTTTGGCTGCAAAACGACAATCGCTACACCTCAATGTAACTCACCACGTGAACGACCTTGAGATGTTTCGACGTGATAATACACTGGATTAAGCGCAGAATTAGAAGGACAGGATAAGAAGTGTTTCCAAAGATAACATACAGAAGTGCAGGTAAAGCTGTCGGTGGCTGCTTTTAGGAAACGTGTTGTTCTTGTTTAAGGCCAATAAGAAAGAATAATAATAATAATAATCCTTGCATTTGATATAGCGCTTTTCACGTCGGGAGGACGTCCCAAAGCGCTTCACAGAATATACTGTAAAGTGAATTGACTGTTTATTTGTGGGCGAACGCGGCAGCCAATTGCGCACAGCAATGTCCCACAAACAGTCGTAGATTGAAAATGACCAATTTATTATTGTTTTTGGTTTTGGAGGGATTATTATTAGGCTCTGTGTGGAGTAAGGAAACTTGCCCAAGGTTTCGCCCTCTGCCTGGAATTGAACTCAGGTCTCTCACTTGCAAAGCGATTGCTCCAACCACTGAGCTACAGGACACTGAATATTATGTTAACGGCCACCTGATTTATACAGTGTTCTTCACACAGGAGAGTGTCTCAGAGCGCTGCACAGTGGCGGGGCTGGACACCAGGCAAGGAAGAAGATGGAGGTGACCATGGAGAGAAGTGGTGGCATTCACAGATAGATGTAAGGAGGGAACGGGGTGGAGGAATTGGAGCAGGGAGTTGGAGAGCTTGGACATAGCGTTTAAGATTTTGATTCAGAGACAACAACCTGGATTTATGCAGAGTCTTTTAAAGTGCTTTACAGGGAGCATCAAGGAGGAGAACGATAAGGGAGCTGTTCACAGGCAAACAGACAGGTTTTGAAGGCAGGGAGAGAAAAAGAACAGAGAAGAGATTAGGGCAGAGTGTTCCAGAGATGCTGGGAGCCTTGGCTCAAGGTTTGGACCCCATTGGTGAGACAGAGGGAGTAAGGACAAGTTGACCAAAGCCGATGTCTCGCAAGCACGTCACAGGATTGTACTAATGTGAGGTGCTTTGATTGGGACATCCAACTCTGGTCTACTGTCCATTGGCAGGTCAGCACAACAGCTAATTGTGCACATCAATGTCTCACAAACAGCCGAGAAGTGAATGACCAACTTTCTATCTGGAGCATTGTTGGTTAGGACACGGGGAGAAACTCCCCTCTCTTTTTGAATCGTGTCATGGTCTCTTTAATGTCCTGAACCTGAATAGGCAGATAGGACCTCGGTGTAACATATCACCCGAAGGACAGCACCTCCAACAAATCAACATTCCCCAGCACCGCACTGGAGTGTCAGCCTAGACTATGTGATTCAAAGTCCCAACATGGGACTTGAACCTACAATCTTTTTTGGGGGTCACGCGGGTGTCTGACACATGCACAAACCCATCATCATGCTTAGGAGTATCCAATCCAGACTGAGTTCCACTCATGCCACCTACACATGCAAATTCCTGTGTTTGACGTATGGTTGACAGAGAAACATAGGAACAGGAGTAGGCTATGTGGCCTATCTACCCTGTCCCACCAGACATCAGATATCCCACAAAACACTGGGGTGGGGGGAGTGGGCGGTATGTGGGGAGGACGGGATGTTTTTGCGTGGGGAACTTGGACACTTTTGTAACATGAGTCTCTCCCGTTGTCCTGTAATATAGGCTTCTAAGACAGACAGCTCTTTGCTGAAACACGGCCCAGGTGTGTCCTTTGCTGTCATGCTCAGACATGGCTGCACACAGCGCCAGCCTCAGCTTCCAGGCTTATAAGCTGTACTCAGGCTATTTTTATATACTGAATACAGATTGCTATTGCTGACAAAGCCGCTCGTATCACTTTTCAGCTAAATGCTGAATAAAACCCTTTGCAGGAGGATTTACTTTGAAATTCAAGGCACATTCGACACTCGTTCCTGAGCTGATTCAGTGACCCACTCCCTCCCACTTCCCCCACACCCACCGCCCCCCCAACCCCCACCACACACACACACGATTCTTCTGAATGACCAAAATTGGTTTAATTCAGTCTCGTTCCTGGAGAGCTCTGCCCTAGACATCACAGTACTACGGGAATAAAATTGTCATTTTCGTACATTTAAAATTACAATTGCCTCAGACTGCACCAAGGGGGTGGAAGCGGTCATTCCCTCCTGAGCCCGGGTGTCGCGACTCGGGGGTGGGGGGGGGTGAATGAAGTGACTCTGGCCGTGCCGCACTGGCTCAAGGCGCTGGATAGTCAGGAACTTGGACCCGAGCTGGGGGTTGGAATGAGGGAGGGTGCAGGGCAGGGAGGGGTAAGAGGGTGGTCAAAGGCACGGTCAAAGAGGAGGTTCTTGAGACTTGCCCTGAAGGAGGCAAATAGTAATAATAATAATCCTTGTATTTTATATAATGCCTTATCGCGTCTTTGCGATGACTCAAAGTGCTTCACAGAATATATTGTTAGGTGAATTAACTGTATATTTTGTGGGTGAAACGTGGCAGCCAGTTGTGCACGGTAGTGGCCCACAAAATGGCCTTGGATTGAAATGATCGAATTATTATTTTTTTTCGAGAGATTATTAACCCCGGCAAGAAAAAAAATGAAGTTCGTGGAGAATTTTGGAAAAGTCTTAACCTTACTCTTAATTCTGAAGCTGGGTTTTACACGGCCCTCACAGTGTAACACAAGCAGTAGTGGTGTGGAACTGGCAGGAACATGAGTAGCCCCTCGTTCAGCCATTCTATCAGATCATGTTTGATCATGTTTGATTTGTACCTCAACTCCAAATTGATGCCCTCATGGGTGTGTTGTGAAACACCGGACTTGTAAGAGCCCAGAGGGGCCCCACCGGCCATGACCCACGACAGACTTCAGCCAGCAGAAGAAGGATTAGGGATTGTTTTTGTGTAGTTGCTGGAGTGACGCAACCCAGAGCCCAGGGGGCTACCAACCGAGCCAACCTGCTACAGTACCACAGTGTGTTGGGCAATGAGACAACCGGAGTTAGCAACATAAAAGGTCTCAGCGTACAACTTTTGCAACAATCAGGAGGCTGAGCCCTCTTGTCACCAATTCCCCAACTAAGGGGAAGTGTTTGCCGCTGGATATCTTGTTGCGTCACTTCAGAATTCTATCATATCTCTTCTGTTGCAGTGAAATAAAGCCTCAATCCATAAATAAATATTAATAATCCTTGCATTTGATATAGCAAGTTGAGACGTCTCAAAGCATTTCAGAAGATATATGATAAAGTGGATTGACAGCGTATTTTTGTGGGTGATTTAGTCAGTCAGCCTCTCCTTACTCACGTAATGGTCAGATATCACTAGCACAATACCCAGTGTGAGATAATATATGTACATCCAGCCTTTCATCCCGAAACTGTGTTTAAATCGTTTCTTAAATCTGTCTCTTAAGAACCTCTGCACGGCATCAGTGTGACCGAGCTGCTTTGTAATGGCCACACGGTGATTTGAAACCCTGCACACAGAAACAAATCGCCAGACAGACACCCCATGCTGATCAGCCTTGCTAGGCTAATTCTGCCTCTGATAGACAGCATCTGTGTGACAAGGCTTCATTAACTGGGTGATTACAGGAAGACTCGGGGTCAGCATCCGTATCCCTGATAATGAAGTGAACGGACTACATCAGCAGTACCATGGCTTAACTGCAGGAAAGTCTCATTACCGCTCGGAGGAGGACGGACCAGATCTCATAGGGCATATTACTGCTCCCGATCTGGGAGCAAACAATCCTTCTTTAAACATAAGACCCGCCTTTCTCCCAATTTGCAACCAAATCACCGCAGGTTAAAGAGGCCCA